GTACTAATCATGCGTCTCTAGTATATTGAAGTATTCATAAACGAACAAAATATTTTGAATACAAGACTTTTAATCAAAAGATTGAAATTATTGAATAAATGCCTAATTTATTGACTGGCATTGAAAAGCATAATTCATTATTGTAGCAAGAATGCCATGTTGTTTGGGTCCTTTCTATTTGGCATTCTCATTTTTTTTAATGGTAAATAGGACCCTCAAAAGGATGCATAGAACAGAAGAAAGGACAAAGGCATTTGGGGTTTCATCATGGTTTAGGCTTTTAAGAACGACAACACTTATTACCTTACAAAAGAAGGGTACGAACTTGGAGAAAATAACTCTACTAAGGTTACTTCATCGCGTCCTATGGTCCATTATTGAGTTTAACTTTGCTTAGCATATTAATAATTTCAGTAAACAAATAAATATTGGATTAGTTGGACGGTGATACTTAGCCTCTGTTTGAGCCACATTAAAATTTTCGTTCTCACTCTTTTACTCATTTTCAACCACACATTTTTCAATAAAATAATATTTTCAATCACATCAATAATTTTTCATTCTTTTTCAACCATACATTCTTCATCAATCTACTATTTCAAAATAATGTGATTCAAACACACCCTTAATATCACATATTATTTGGATACTGTGCTTCTATCTCAAAAGATAAACTTACGAGTACTACAGATCCTTATAAATTCAAGATCATATGCATATCTAATGGATACACGACTTTTGTTTGTAGATTTCCATCGATCTCCTCTCTCAAATGAAGACCACGTCATCATAGCCCACACGTGATCTTCAATCCAGTTAAGCGATGATCTATTACATTCATGTGCTTTTAATCAGGAAGATCATGTAATCCATCGAGATATACACTATCTTCACCTCATCATGATTGTGTTACCATGGAGGCTTCATCACAGTAAGATTTAATATCACGGATTTTCCTGCTACCACTGCTCATTGGGGCTCGCAATCTCGTTAAAATCTTTTTGGTACTCCAACTTTGATGCCACTTGAGACTAGTGTTGTCCATCTCTAAAGGTTAATGAGCAATTTAATTTTCTTGTAAATCAACGACCATCAGCATGACTAACCAATGAGCAAACCATGTCTGCGATATTTTTTTCAATCGACTAATGTCACGTGTTGATAAGGTGATGCGAGTGAGTTAAAACTAGACAACTATACGCGCTAAATTTTTAATGCTTGTAAAACAATTTCTGTTTTCAAAATAACATGTCAAACAAGGGCTCAATGATATTTTACCAAATGCTTGAATTTAAAGATATTAAGTGATGTAACAATGTACTAAAATCACAACTAAGAGTGCACATTTAGACAACTATAGCAAACGTAGGATTCCTCGTTGTTTCTTTCACGAAAGTTACTTTATCTATTTTTTGTTGTGTAATGATAACATTAATCGTAATGATGCAATTATAATACATTACAGTAGTATGTGTTCCGTAATTACAAGAAATTCGATTTATAAGTCATAAAATTGCAATATATTTACCTTCTGTGGTAATTTAACTGTATTATAATGTTTATAGATTAGTTGCTGTCATTCAAATCTACCGTTGGATTCACTTCTTAAATTTAGTATGAAGAGTTGGTAAAAAGTCCATACTAACTAATCTATCAAGAGTAAGGTGACATGTAAATCGTTTAATTTTGATTAGGATTAATAGCAGAAAACCCTATAGAAACATTTCCATTTGCGATATACCTCATATCTATTGGAAATCGCAACATTTGAAACCTTTTGTGTGAAAAATTCTCGTACCGTCAAATTTATAGTTAAAAATAGTAAAAATGTCAAGATTTCAAAGTAATAATTGCAATTTTAGTAGCCAAACTTTTTATTCTTTTACAAATTATACCAAAATTTTTTTATGTGCTACACACAACCCAAAATCTTTAAAACTTTATTTTTCATCCTATCGTACCCCACTTCACTTCATCTTCTCCCCCCAAAACTTTATTATTTTATTTAATCCCTTCCAAAACCCTCATAAATTCCTCACTCCAAATTCATCATTTCTTCTTCTCATTCTCAAGATAGGTCATCACACACACGCAACGGTGCTTCACACAAGGCACGATGGATAGTTGAATTCATCGAAGGCAAAACATCGTAATTCGCCTTAAGAGTTGTCACGGCTGCTACCTCACGATAGTGGATGAGCCATTTCTTCTCGGCATAACAGAAAAAAGGTTCTGCAAACTATTCTGGCAACAAAAATGGATACTTCAATTGAATGGACGACCAATCAGTTAACAGTCGACCGCTCTACCCTGTAAAAAAGGGGGAATTATGTGAAACTAATAACGAGGAAAGAGAAATTCTCGAGGACTAATGGGGGAACGTCGTCATTGCGGAATTCAATAGCTCATGATATTTATCATAGAATTGCAACTCAAAACTGGATTTTGTGGAGAATGGGTATTATGGATATTTCTAATATTGGGAATGAGAAGAATAAATAAGGAATTTGGGATGATGGATTTATGAGGGTTTTGGAAGTGATTAAATAAAATAATACAATTTTAGGGGAGAAAATGGAGTCGGTGGGGTGGAAAATAAAATTTTAAAGGTTTGGGATTGCGTGGGTACACAAAAAAATTTGGGTATAATTTGTAAAAGAATATAAAAAGTTTGGATACTAAAATTGCAATTATTACTTTTAAATTTTGACATTTTTACTGTTTTTAACGACAAATTTGACGGTAGAAGATTTTTCACACAAAAGTTTTTAAATATGGGGCTTTGGCTTTCTACGATTTTTAATAGATAGGAAGGTATATCGTAAATGAAAATGTTTTATGGGGTTTTCTGTTATTAATCCTTTTGATAACTAATCCATTTTGTAAATCATTTAATCCTTGAATAACTAATCCATTTTTTGTATTGAAATTCAATTGTGCATTTTTTATTTTAGTGACTTATATCCAAGTCGATTATTAAATAATGGACAGCAACATAATTAGCAACCATGCACGATATACTTTTGAAAGAGTCTATCAACTGTCTTTGATAATTGTGTCACTTAAAATGCAAGTTATTGATGATGTGAATTCAGGAATTATTAAAACATTAAGAGCTTGTTTAATGTTCATTATTTTTAAAATATTTTTTTTTCTCTATTATTTTTAGTCGCACGTTTTTCAATAAAATAATATTACTCATAAATTTAAAATTTTTCTTTATTTTTAAACACATATTATTAATCAAATCACTATTTTAAATTGTATTTTTTTAAAAAAAGGAAAAAACGAAAAGGGGGGTCAAACACGCTCTAAAAGCAATTATTTACTATGATATGTAGAAGTAGATTAGGTTACAATTTTATCACTTGCGTGGCTTTTTTTTTTTTTTTGGTTAAATCTTATTTAGTGCTGTTCAATTCAACTTATTGCCATTATGTATGTCATTATTTGGTAGGTTCGTCGTTATATTTGTCATCACTGTTCAAATGTGATTTTGTTGAGTTATTATGTTAAGCCACCGAAGTTACATGATAATAATCGAAGCTTGGATAGAAAAATGTTGCATTTGACTTGAACACGTAATTATATCGAAGATTTTGTGCTTTCTAATATGTTTGGCCTTAATTGTATATTTGTCATTTATTTACGGAACCTCATGGCTCACTTCATAGGCCGGACTCGACAAAATTAATGAAAGAGTGATGCTAATTGACTTCAGTGATATTTAACATTAATTTAGGTGATAATATTTGTAGTGATAAATCGTACATTCAATTAAATGTAAAAATTTAACAATAGTTTATTAAAGTATTGTCATCTAAATGAATCTCAAGATTAAATGTTTCGAAGGGGATTCTATGGCAACAATAAATGACCACAACTAATTCATAACCACTTCAATAAATGTATATCAGCATATACTCCAAATTCATTTCGCTTACCATGGTTAATGAGCTTACCAATTTAGCCTATCACGTATAGTCGCTAAGCCTAAATATAAGTAAAAGTTACTTGTGACTCTTATTTTCAAAAACGTGTCTTTCTTACTTTCACGTAAATGCAACTATCACTTTATTAGCTACTATCATAATAAGTGACTTAATTTTAATTTTGATCACAAAAGAAAATATCGTTTTTTTTTCTCTAAAATTCGGATAATTTCTCGATTTGTGCTTGTTGTCCTCACACAAGTGTGATGTCGATGTGCATGGTTCTGATTTTACCACGTATTTCAAAGGGACTAACATTTAGATGCTTCTACTTCACTATCAAGAGATTTAGTTGCCAAATGAACTATTCAGCAATAGATCATTTGAATTCAATGTCAATCATGCTTTAACCTTGGATTGTTGGTGAGAAACATTATGAATATATGCAAAGAAGCAAGCAAAATTTACCATGTTATAACAAGACAGCTTTACTTGGATTGAACGAATTATTGGAAGAGGGCCGTTTTAACAGTTGGAAATATCACTTACTAATAAGTATTCTTTTCAATCTTAGACAAACATAATCTTACCACATCTCGGTTAAGCCAAGCCAAGTGACTGTGTACTAAGCCAAGCCACAAAGCGAGGAAAAAAAACAAAGAAAAGAAATTTGATTATAATAGTGTGAATACCCATAAATAAAGCTCCAAAACCAAGAGTGTGAATGTGATACCGCCCTTCTGAGCCAGTCTCCTCTCTCTCTCCCCCTCCTTCCCTCCCTCCCTCCAACTCGAAACAGAGGAACTAAACTTTCTCTCTCTCACTGAGTCTTCTGAGGGACTATCCTTTGTTTCTTAAACTTTCTTTGCTCAGTGTGGTTCGGCCTCATTTGTTTGCACAAGTAAAGAACAGAGAAAGAAGAAACCCCCTTTTTCTTTCCTCCTTCAAGTTCATTTTTGTGTACAATTCACTCTCTCAGCTTTAGTTGTAGTTTAGCTAGCTCTCTGTTTTCTCTCAGATCTATTAACAGTTACAAACAAACCATTTTCTTGTACTCATTGAATCAAAATGAGTAAAGAAGAGTTCTTGAAGATTCAGGTAATACTTCATTTTTCTCATTTGTTTATGAATGCCTATCTTTGTAGCTTTTCTTTATAAACTTTGCTTGCTTTGAGCATAAATTCTTTGACAACCATTTTCTTTTTGCTCTCCTTTTTCTCTCTCTTTCAGCTCTGTAATGTTGTTTTTTCTCTTTCTTTATTATTTTTTTTTTATGAATGAAGTACTGAACTTTAACCTGTCTTTGCTTGTACATGCAGACTTGTGTTCTTAAAGTCAATATACACTGTGATGGGTGTAAGCAGAAAGTGAAGAGAATCTTGCAGAAAATTGATGGTATAGTTCCATTTTCAGAATCAAATTTATTATTTTTTGCTATATTTCTGTGTAATATTATATGCTTGGATAATGCTAGACTGTCTAGTCGCGTCCAATATTGTGTACCAAGTGTGCTGTTATAATCTATAAGCAAGTTTAATTCTCGTGAACTATGTTTATGAGCAATTTTTTACTTTGTTCCAATATTTGACTGAAATCTCTAAGCGATTTTTTTATTTTTTGGGGTGTTTTACTTTAGGGGTTTATACTATAAAGATAGATTCAGAGCAGGGGAAGGTCACGGTTTCAGGGAATGTTGACCCAGCAACACTTATCAAGAAGCTTGCTAAGAGTGGGAAACATGCGGAGATATGGGGTGCACCCAAGCCCAGCAACAACAATAACCAGAATCAGTTCAAGAATATGCAAATTGACAATGCAAAAGGTGGGAATAACAAGGGGCAGGGTGGTCAAAAGGGGGGTGGTAACAGCCAGCCAAAAGGTGTTCCACAGGGTGGTGGTCAAAACCCACAGCTTCAGCAACTTCAGCAGCTTCAACAAATGAAAGGATTTCCAGATCTGAAATTGCCACCTAATTTTATGAATGCTATGAAAATGCCCCTCAATAACAAGGACCAGAATCCCAAATCTGTCAAGTTCAACTTGCCTGAGGATGAAGGTTTGACTGATGATGAGTTTGATGATGAATTTGATGACGACTTTGATGATGATGAGTTTGATGGTGAAGCTATTGAGCCTGTGAAGAAGCCCTTCATGGGCAATGGTCATGGGGCTGCCCAGATGCCTAACATGATGAATAATATGATGATGAAGGGTGGGGCACCTAATGGTGGTGGTAATAATGGAGGAAATGGTGGTAATGGGAAAAAGGGGGGTGGTGGTGGAGGAAATATACCGAATATGGGTGGGGGTAACCAGAACCAAGGTGGTGGAAAGGGTGGCAAGAACGGTGGTGGTAACCAAAATCAAGGTGGTGGAAAGGGTGGCAAGAATGGTGGTGGGCAACCAAATGGAGGTGGAAATGGTCAAAGTAAGAACGGTAATAATGGCAATGGCGGTGGTGGTGCTGCAAATGGTAACAACACTAATGCTAATGTGGCCAAGAAAGGTGGAATGAATGATGGAGTTCATGGCATGCCTAACATTATGGGTATGAATGCGGCTGGCAGTGTGGGCCAGATGGGGAATATGCCCGTGGGCCAAATGGGCCAGATAGGTAATTTATCAGCCGTCCCGGGCCTACCGGCTTCGATGGGTGGTGGTGGTGGAGCTCCTGCGGCCGCAGGATACTTCCAAGGTGCTGGCCCTGAGATGATGGCCGGCAATCCCCACTACCAACAACAATTGGCTGCAATGATGATGAACCAGCAACGAGCCAATGGAAATGAGAGGTTTCAGCCAATGATGTATGCCCGGCCTCCACCTGCGGTCAATTACATGCCTCCATATCAACCACCTTACCCTTACCAGTATCAGTACCCTTATCCCCCTCCCCCAGGCGATCGGGCTGAGCAATACTCGATGTTTAGCGATGAAAACACATCAAGCTGCAATGTGATGTGATTCGGACACCCAAACCTGAATTTCCCAAATTTTCGTGGTTGTGCTTGGTGGTTCATGACTTCTTACTAGTCCTGATGCCATTATATACATGGACATGGTTTTACTTCGATTCTTGTTTCCTTTTAAATCCGAAGTTTAGTTCAGTTTTTCTTCTTAGGGAGTAGTATTATCACAGATAATATAATAATATTAAAGCTTTAGACAATGAGATGCAAGAGGGGATGGATGCTTCTGCTGGTTTTGCTAATGAAATGTTTATATGTTTATATTTTGGAAAAATAAATGAATTTCGAGAGAATGGGATTTTTAATTAAAACAATGTCCATCTCTTTGTTGAGTCGTGCTGCTGTGCCAAGTCTGTAAAGCCATGTGAGATAGGGTGGGTGGGTGTTTTAACATTTTTGCGGATTTTTTTAATGAGTTAGGTTCTCGGGACCCACCTCATGTGAGATAGTCTGTACAAAATTTGTGAACCAAAATCTGGTAGAGTAGAATAATTCCTCTTTGTTTACTATCTATCCAACAAGAGGACGTAATCATGAAAAAATTCATTGTCTTTATCACACTAATCACTTTACCAAGCAATACAAAGTAACAATTTCCATGGCTTGTGACTTTTACATTTTAAATTGTCCTCCATCTTATAAGTGTGTGAAATTATGGAGCTTATTGTGGGGGGTACAAAATCTCATAAGGCTTGGACCCACCTAATAATTTAATAATACTAAATTTAAATACAAGAATGTGAATATTATTGGTCTTCGTGTTTTGCCATATCTAAATGCATGTGGTGGTACGTAGTCGTTGGTAATATAAAGAAAAATTCATTCGGGATTAGGCAAGTGTTGCTGTCATCGAACTTTTAGCAAATTCTCAATTAGGTCACTGAATTTTAATTTGTCTCAATTGAGTAGTTGAACTTCAATTTAGTAAATGTGATGTTCGACCGCGTTACACGTACAGGAAAATGATTCACAGGCATCTTACATGGATGACATTGCAAGTAAAAATAAATAAAATTCTCGTTTCTCCCAATCCTTAGCTAAAATCTCATCCCTCACGTCCAGCAGGTGTCGTCGCCATCCTCCCCATCTTCGACCATCGTCGAATCACTGAATTCGAAGAATAGCCAAACCGTGTGTAATACCATTAACTTTTGTGCCCCATTCAGCTAAATTATTTTCTACCACAAAAATCAACACTCATGATTCCAATTCACAACAATCTTTTAGAGAGACATTTGATATGGGTTGTGATAATGGGCTTCGTGAAGGTGCTTTAAATCGGGGAACATGGACGCAGAATACTGGTTATAATGGAATGTATTATTATTCTAATTACATTTCTTATTTATTATATAGAAATCAATTTTGGGTCTCGACTCTTGACCTTTGCTAGTAAGAGTTGCAGGAAAGAATGAAGATTGACCTATAATAGTAAGAATCTTGACCTATGTTGATAATATTGTGTTAAATTCGAATTTCGCATTTGAAAGTTGAGATATTGTTTGCATTTTCTGATTGACCTATGCTAGTAAAAGTCTTGACCTATGTTGATAATGTTGTTTATTAAATTTGAATTTTACATTTGGAATTGGGATATTGTTTGCATTTTCATTTGGGATATTGTTTGCTAAATTGACTTAGTATTGTGTTTTTATTTTTATTGACTTAAAAAATAATTTATTTTTGTGGTTATTAATTAAATCGAGTCGAGTAGAATCGAACCGAACCGACTTACGTGTTTATGGCGCGATTATGATTTTGGCCGAATCGACCCCGAACCGAATCGTTGTCATCCCTATTTGATAGTGCAAACCAATATTTCTATCTATTTTCATCAAATTTCTCAATAAAAAGCTGTAAAAATACGAATATACACTCATATTTAAGCCCATGTTTGAGCAACATTAAAATTTTCATTCGTATTATTCTACTCATTTTCATTCACATTTTTCAATAAGATAATATTTTTCATTACATCAATAATTTTTCCTTCTTTTTCAACCACACATTCTCTATCAATCTACTATTCCAAAATTCATTCTTCCAAAATAATGTGGCTCAAACACATCCAAAATATATAATAAAAATAAAGAACTAATTACAACCATAATCCCAAAAATTT